GGGCCCCGGCAACCCTGGCCCTAGCCCCGGCCCCCCTCGTCCTGGATTCTTTATTTCCGCGGTTCGTGGTTCGTGGTTCGTCGTCGCCCTCGCCTTCCCCCCCTCCCCCTTGGCTCTGGCCCACCTGGCTTTGGCCCCAGCTCCCCCTCGCCCCCCCCCTGGCTCTGCCCCCCCATCACATCCCCTTGGCTCTGGCCCACTTGGCCCTGGCCTCAGCCCCCCTCGCCCTGGCCCGCCCCCCTCGCCCCCGCCCCCTGGCTTTGGCCCACCTGGCCCTGGCCTCGGCCCCCCTCGCCCCGTGCTCTGGCCCCTCTCGCCCCAGACCTTTTATTGTTCGTGGTTCGTGGTCCGTCGCCCTCGCCCCCTCCCCTGGCACTGGCCTGAGCCCCCCTGGCCATGGCCCCAGCTTCCCATCGCCCCTCCCCTCGGCCCTGGCCCCCCTGGCCCTGGCCCCCCCTCGCCTCGCCCCCCTGGCTCCGGCGCCGCCCTCGCTCCGGCCCCTTTTCTTTTCGTGGTTCGTGGTTCGTGGTCCGGCGTCGCCCTCGCCCCCTTTCCCCCCCCCTGGCTCTGGCCCCCTCGGCCCTGGCCCCAGCTCCCCCTCGCCCACCGTGGCCCCAGCCCCCCTAGCCCTGGCCCCGTCTTCCCCTCCCCCTCCTTGGCTCTGGCCCCCCTCGCATCCCCTTGGCTCTGGCCCCCTTGGCCCTGGCCTCAACGCCCCTCGCCCTGGCCCCAGTTCCCCCCCCCCCCCCCTCTGGCCCTGGCCCCCTTGGCCGTGGCCTCAGCCCCCCTTGCCCCGGACACTTTATTTTCGTGGTTCGTGGTTTGTGGTTCGTCGTCGCCCCGGCGCCCCAGCTCCCCCTCGCCCCCCCCCCTTGGCCCTGGCCCCGCTGGCCGCGGCCCCAGCCCTCCTCGCCTCTCCCCCCCCTGGCCCCAGCCACCCCGGCCCTGGCCCCAGCTCCCCTCGCTCTGGACCCTTTATTTTTGTGGTTCGTGGTTCGCGGTTCGTCGTCGTCTTCGCCCTCGCCCCCTGGCTCTGGCCCGCCCCTGCCCCCCCCCCCGGCCCCCGCCCCCCTGGCCCTGGCCCCAGCCCCCCGCCCCGGACCCTTTCTTTTCTTGCACAGCTGTGCTCCAGAGCTCGGACATCTTCATTTTCGTCGTGGTTCGTGGTTCGCGCGGTTAGCCCCCCTCGGCCCACCCCGCGAGCCTGAGCCCCAGCTCCCTTGGGCACCCCGCCCTTCGGAGGCTTGCTCCGCCCAGGCTTCCCAGGACAGCCCCCCCTGGGCCGCGGATGTCCTTATTTTCGTCGTGGTTCGCGGTTCGTCGTGGTTCGCCCCCCTCGGCCCCTCGACCCTCGACGCCGCCGCCGCGGGCCATCGAGCGAGGCTGCCGCGTCGCCCGCGGCATGAGCGCGCAGCCGCGGCCGCGCGAATTGGCGTTGCAGAGTCAGGCTGCTGCTCTCTCTCCGACGTGCTGCTCCAAGTCGAGATGTTGGTACCAGCCGTGCTGCTCAGCGACGTAGAGCCCGACGCTGTACTCGTCCCGCTCGTGGGTTCCAGGGTCGGACTGCCGATCTCTGGCGCGCTCGTCGACGCGACGATGCGCTGATGGTGCCTCCATGGTGTTCCGCGACCGGCTGTTGCTCTCCGAACTGCCGTTCGCAATCGGGGTGCCAGTGCCCGTCGTGCTGCTCAGCGACGCAGTACTCGAAGCAGTATTTGTCCCTCTCGTGGGCGCCAGGGCTTGGCTGCTACTCCCCGACGTGCTGCTCAGGCTGGTCTCCGGATTTTTTCTCGCAAGCGCCCGCTGAGCAGCGCCAGAGCCTGCCGCCACGGCTCGTCCGTCTCGCGGCGCGGGCGCTGTTCCCAGCGTTGTAGCCGATAACGTTGGTTTCCAGCCCCCTCTTGCCGCAGCTCGCTGGGCCGTGCTGAAGCCTGCTGCGACGACTCACCCTTCTCGCACCGCAGGCGCTGATCCTGGCGCTGTAACTGTTGAGGTTGGTCTACAGTTTCTTTTCGCCACTGGTCGCTTGGCAGCGCCAAAACCTGCCGCCGCGGCACGGCCGTCCAACGGCGCAGACGCTGACCCCAGTGTCGTAGCCAACGACCCTAGCTACCAGCTCCTGTTTGCCGCAGGTCGACGGGCAGTCCTGGACCCGCTGCGGCGGCTCACCCATATCGCAGTAGCAGTTGGGGCTGGTCTCCAGCTTCTTTTCGCCGCAGCCCGATGCAGCGCCAAAGCCTGCCGCCGCGACTCGGTCGTCTCGCGGCGCAGGCGGTGATCCCAGCGTCGTAGCCGATGACGCTAGTCCCCAGCTCCCTCTCGCAGCGGCTCTCTGAGCAGCGAAGGGGTCCCCCCCCCAGTGGACACTGCGAGCGTCGGAAGTCCATCCCCTTCCGCCCGTACCGCACCGCACACGTGCAAGAGAGTAGCGCGGGCGCGGTCCCGAAGCCCTATCTTCCATAGGGCACGCCGCGATCGGGTTCCCCCCCCCCCCTCCCTGGATTCCCACTCGCGCGCGCGGCGAAAGCATGAGGGTATGCCAGATGACTGCGCAGTCGGTCCCCCGTCCCGAAGGGTCATGTGGGACCCCGACGCTGCTGACGCTCGCCACAATGGAACGTTGGGGAACTGACGGCATGCTGCCCGCTGCCATGCGGGTGGCACCCCCTCCCGAGGGGTCGCACGGGGCTCTGCCACTGCCCGCGCTTACACCCACCCTGCCACCGTTCGCATCGGCAGCCCCGGGGCAGGTGCAAAGAGGCCCTTCTCATTGACACGCCGCGCGGCGTCGAGGGCGCAGGCCCAAGGGCCAGCTTCAGCACCCGACCTTTGTTTAAATCTGCCAAGCGCCTTGTCCCAAATGGCCACAGACGTCGGGCAGAGAAAGAGGAGACACTTCCGTGTCGGCCCGTGGGGTGGGGGGGGGGGGGGGGTACACCTTACAATGCAGATGTTGCACCACACGGTTAACACCATATGGAGCGCACCGCACAGCTTGAACCACCTAGCTTACACCACATAGTTTGCATCGCATAGCGTATGCCACGTTACTTACACCGCATGACCAGCATCACATACCTCACACCACATAAGCTGCGCCACACTGATTGCACCATATCCACATTGGTTGCACCACCTCACATAGCTTGCTCAGCTAAGTTGACACCATGTGTCTTGCGCCGCGTATGCTGCCCATTGAGTGCAACAACCTACTGCTTGGGGTCAACGCTGGCAAACAGTTGCGTTGTTGTTGTTGTTGTTGTTGAACATTATTAATTCTAAAGAATAATTATTGTTGGGACCCCTGGTGCACGGCCCCCCTGCGCCGCCTAGGCCGCAGCTACATTTTCATCATTTTCGTGAGGAAGCCTCAGGTAATTCGATGTGATCAAGATCCGGTTGTTTTGTTCCCCCCCGCTTTCCCTTGCAAAAAACACTATAAAATGACATTTCTTGTTCTAATATAATCAAATTTCAAGAATCCCTTGCAAAAAATAAGGTAAAGTGGACATTCGCGCGCGCAAGACGAAATCCTTCCAAAAGCTTAGTGTTCGGAGCGATTTTAACATAAAAACATCAAAAAACCAATGGTTTTTCAACAAAAAAATGTCAAAATCTCATCCCGCGCGCTCTTGCGGATTCGTAGGAAACCCAACACTTTTTAAACATTTCTGTCAAACGGGCTTTTGCGAGCAACTTTTTCGAACTTCTGCGACAACGGTTGCGCACCTGCCAGGGCCATCATCCCTGTCAAATAATACCATGCGGGACACATTCGTTTTTTCTTCGCGCGCGCACGCCGTCGTCGTCGGCCGCGGGGCCCTGAATAGTAGCCACGGTCGTCCGCATGCCACGAAGTGAAGTGTCCGAACGTCATAGGGCGGGAAGCTGGGTGTGGGTGGTGGCGAAGAGTCGTTTGGAAATTTGGTAGAGCTTGAACCGGCCCCCCCACAAAGTGGGGGTATTGCCCGCCTCCTACGAAAACCCTGGCACTGGTGAGAACGGAGTGTCCCCACGTGCTAGTAATTGTTGTTGTTGTTGTTGTTGAACATTATTAATTCTAAAGAATAATTATTGTTGGGCCCCCTGGTGCGCGCCCCCCCCGCCGCGCCTAGGCCGCAGCCACATTTTCATCATTTTCGTGAGGAAGCCTCAGGTAATTCGAGGTGATCAAGATCCGGTTGTTTTGTTGTAATCCGCTTTCCCTTGCAAAAAACACTATAAAATGACATTTCTTGTTCTAATATAATCAAATTTCAAGAATCCCTTGCAAAAAATAAGGTAAAGTGGACATTCGCGCGCGCAAGACGAAATCCTTCCAAAAGCTTAGTGTTCGGAGCGATTTTAACATAAAAACATCAAAAAACCAATGGTTTTTCAACAAAAAAATGTCAAAATCTCATCCCGCGCGCTCTTGCGGATTCGTAGGAAACCCAACACTTTTTAAACATTTCTGTCAAACGGGCTTTTGCGAGCAACTTTTTCGAACTTCTGCGACAACGGTTGCGCACCTGCCAGGGCCATCATCCCTGTCAAATAATACCATGCGGGACACATTCGTTTTTTCTTCGCGCGCGCACGCCGAAATCTCCAAAAACCATTGGGTTCTGTGGGTGTGTACCCCACGCCAGTGTAGTAGCCACGGTCGTCCGCACGCCACGAAGTGAAGTGTCCCAACGTCATAGGGCGGGAAGCTGGGTTTGGGTGGTCGCGAAGAGTCGTTTGGATATTTGGTAGAGCTTGTAATGCCCCCCCACGAAGTGGGGGTATTGCCTGGTGTCGTATGAAAACCCTGGCACTGGGGAGAACACCACGCGTTCGGGTAAAATGATTGTTGTTGTTGTTGTTGTTGTTGTTGTTGTTGTTGTTGTTGTTGTTGTTGTTGTTGTTGTTGTTGTTGTTGTTGTTGTTGTTGTTGTATGTGTTTTGTCATGCACGTCCGCCGGGCTACGTCTTGGCACTGAGTTGCTCTGATATGGTTGTTGTTCCTGCACGTCAGCCTGGCTGAGCCCTACGCCGCACTTGACGAAAACGCCCTCGGCGGTGCTCCACTCGGCGTAGGTGTGTATCAGCCTGACCTGCGCGGTCCACGGCGCTGGCACGCGGCTGCAGACGTACTCCTCCACCGCGGCCGGCGAGTCCATCGCCCGCCCGTCCACCGACCAGTGGCCCGCGAGCGCCGTGATGAAGAAGTCCTCCAGCACGAGTGCCCTCAGCCGCCCAGCCTCCGCCGCGGCCGCGGCCACGCCTCCATGCGACGTCAACTCCGCCATGCAATTGCCGATGGCGATGAGGCGCCCGTCGGGCGTGTGCTCCTCCGAGGAGCCAGTGGTAGCCTGGAAGGCGAACGGGCGCCCCAGGCACCTGGTCAGGCGGGCCTCGAGGTCCTGGAGGCGCGTCTTGTGGCGGGCTGCCTGCCACGTCGACGCCAGGACGGCGAGGCACCGCGGGCCAGCGGCCTCGAGGATCTCTGCGAGGCGCCCCACGAGCACGTCCGAGACGTAGGACCTGTTCTTCGCAACCAGCGTGTTGAGCGCCTCCTTCTCGCCGTCGAGCCTCTTCCGACTGACTGCCATCAGGCTCTCCACCAGGTGGCGCTCTGGGTGGCCCTCGCGCTTCGTCCACAGGCTCTGCGCCAGCCTGAGGTTCGAGTCGTTGAGCAGGGTGGGCGACTTGCCTGCGCCGCCGAGGGGCATCCACACCCACAGGTTCTGTCAACCACGCGCAGTGCAGTGTGACCCTAGGCAGGAGCGACCTCTGGTGAGCGGCTCGAGGGGGCGGCGGCGGGGAGGGGGGGCACACTCGCTCGCGCTGGCTGGTGCTGGGGGAAACCTCCGTGGGCCCGCACGAAGGGTCGCTCCGTCAGAGGGCCACCCTTGCGCGCAGCCGACTCTGGCTGGGGTCCTGCCCTGGACCCTGGGGAGCAATCGACACGCGCATCTGCCGCGCCCGTGGGGGCGGGCGGGCAGATCTTGGCGGTGCGCGCAAGAGGCGATGGGGGGCGCCCTCTAAGAAGACAGGAACGGCTTCAAAAAAGGCAGAAGGCCTCTGGCAAGCCCTTCCAGCTTCCCTTCCTGGAAGCTGCTTGGCCCTCATAAGAGGGCCCATGCCTTTGTTTTGAAGAACCCCGCCGTTTTCATCGAAGGCCGCCCCCCTCGCCCCAGCCACTCGCGCGCGCCGCCGAAGACACCCTCGTCCACCACTCCCCGAGGCCCCCAAGCACGACCCCGGAGCGGCGGACATGGATGCGCTGCATCGGTGGCGGACAGCCTTTCTCAGCCGCGCCGACGTTCAGCACGCCGTCGATGTCGACGAAGACGGCAGAGGACCAACAGAGCAGTACAAGCATACCAGACTGTTGGAGGTCCGCGGCGCTGGACCCCCTGCCCCCTCCACTCCCTTCCCCTGAGGATGAGCGACAGGGGGGACCGGCTGGCAGTGGAAAGCATTCACTTGAAATCGGCGACGACATCGCGGCAATGGGACCTCGATAGCGAAACTGCTCCTTCAACCGCTTCTGGGCGGGATGCGGCACCCAGCACCGCCCTGGATGACACCTGGGCCGCCCTGGAAAAGCTGGGGGGTATATGGCAACACACAACTCCCCTGTCGCGCGGAGCGCGCCGGCCGGGAGTGTGGTCAGCAGAGCGAAGCGAGAAATCCGCGCGGGCGTCCGCAAATCTACACTGCGTCACCCAAACTCGCGCACCGCGCCCCTCGGGCCGGGCGAAAGGGGGGGATAGCAAAGGGGGGGGGTGAGAATCAGCTCACGTAGCTGATTTTCCCGGCGCCTCCCGGCGCCGGGAGGCGCCCATGTATCGAGGAATGGGCCCGGCGGCGGGGCCGAAACCAGCTGCGTGCAGCAGATTTCGTAACCCCCCTTTCGTTCGGCCCGAGCCCCGCGGTGCGCGGCGCGAGATCGCCTTCGCCCCCGTGAGGCCGCCTCTGAGAGGGGAAACTCTGAGCCCCAGAACGCGACGCGCGAAGAGCGACTGCCTTCGGGCCCCCGCGGACCTCGCAAGTTCCCAGACATTTGACGGAGGCCTGGAAATGGGCACCAACACCAAGACAAGGTGTTGCCTCCACAGGGGTAAGATGATCCCAGATTTCGGTGTTGGTGGTAATATTTCGCTTGCCTTGGAAGTCAGAATATTACCACCATCACCGAGATCGGGATGGTCTTCCCCCGGTGGAGGCACACCGCCGATATTGATGTTGGTGTCAACCTCTGGGCCTGCGAATTTGACGATGAGTTGTTGTTTTCTCATCCCCGGCCCCAAAGAAACTCTAGACCCGCTCCCTGGAGCAAGTTGTAATCTCAGATCCATGTTTGATGGCTCTATTGGCTCCGAAAGCGGCCCCCCGGAGGCGTAAAAGCCAGGGCACGACGCTGCGACTGACACAACGAAAGAACATCCTCTGGCTTCTGGGCTCGTGCCGCCCTGTGGCCCTCCAGATGACGGTGTCGACGTCGCTTGGGAGCGCGGCGCCCTGGCATGC